GTCTCAGTCTCAGCCTTTAAAAGTCTCGGTGTTGTCTCAGTCTCAGCCTTTAAAAGTCTCGGTCTTGTCTCAGCCTCAACCTTTAAAAGTCTCGGTCTTGTCTCAGTCTCAGCCTTTAAAAGTCTCGGTCTTGTCTCAGTCTCAGCCTTTAAAAGTCTCAGTCTTGTCTCAGCCTCAACCTTTAAAAGTCTCAGTCTTGTCTCAGCCTCAACCTTTAAAAGTCTCGGTCTTGTCTCAGTCTCAGCCTTTAAAAGTCTCGGTCTTGTCTCAGCCTCAACCTTTAAAAGTCTTGGTGTTGTCTCAGTCTCAACCTTTAAAAGTCTCAGTCTTGTCTCAGCCTCAACCTTTAAAAGTCTCGGTCTTGTCTCAGTCTCAGCCTTTAAAAGTCTCGGTCTTGTCTCAGCCTCAACCTTTAAAAGTCTCGGTCTTGTCTCAGCCTCAACCTTTAAAAGTCTTGGTGTTGTCTCAGTCTTTAAAAGTCTCGGTCTTGTCTCAGCTTCAACCTTTAAAAGTCTTGGTGTTGTCTCAGCCTCAACCTTTAAAAGTCTCGGTCTTGTCTCAGTCTCGGCCTTTAAAAGTCTTGGTCTTGTCTCAGTCTCGGCCTTTAAAAGTCTTGGTCTTGTCTCAGCCTCAACCTTTAAAAGTCTTGGTGTTGTCTCAGTCTTTAAAAGTCTCGGTCTTGTCTCAGCTTCAACCTTTAAAAGTCTTGGTGTTGTCTCAGCCTCAACCTTTAAAAGTCTCGGTCTTGTCTCAGTCTCAGCCTTTAAAAGTCTTGGTGTTGTCTCAGCCTCAACCTTTAAAAGTCTCGGTCTTGTCTCAGTCTCGGCCTTTAAAAGTCTTGGTCTTGTCTCAGTCTCAGCCTTTAAAAGTCTCGGTGTCTTGTCTCAGTCTCAACCTTTAAAAGTCTCGGTCTTGTCTCAGTCTCAGCCTTTAAAAGTCTTGGTGTTGTCTCAGTCTCAACCTTTAAAAGTCTCGGTCTTGTCTCAGTCTCAGCCTTTAAAAGTCTCGGTCTTGTCTCAGCCTCAACCTTTAAAAGTCTCGGTGTTGTCTCAGTCTCAACCTTTAAAAGTCTCGGTCTTGTCTCAGTCTCGGCCTTTAAAAGTCTCGGTCTTGTCTCGGTCTCGACACTCAGAGGTCTTGGTCTTGTCCTCGTCTTGGTCTCTGTGGTCTCGATGAGTGCGGTCTTGACTACAACACTAATGGGACTATTATTCCAGTTGTTAACGTACAGAAATGTTTTAATATGTGTTATACGAGGGCCAGTGACAATTCTAATGTGAACTGCCGTGCACACAGGTAGTACGGCATCATTTTTTTTCGCCCTAGCATTTACAAACTGACATACACAGAATACACACCACTCTGCGTCACGGGGATCCAGACTCCACGCCAAAAAGTGTAACGCACTTGCTGGTCACTGTTTACTCTTTACTTATTGTGATAATTGGATAATCTACAGAAAAAGGCCCGATGATGTTCTGTTATGTTCTGATGACGCACACAAAAGCTTTTTCAGAAACAGTGTACTCAAGAATAGTCTGAAAAATATACGTTTGAAAGATCTCGACCTCGATGGGAAAAGATTAGAGGTACACTATGTAACGTTTTTGGTTGGAGGCTGGAGTCATTGTTCTGCCTGGAATGTTCCACAGTATGACATTAAACAGATCTACCTTACATTTATTCAGTTACAGGTGGTTTTAAAGCTCAAATATCCCCAGAAAAACAGGAATTCTGACTGTGAGCGGGGTCGCCTCTCCACAGAGCTAACCTGTAACTAAGATATAAAGGCTCTATGGCAGAGATGTGTCAAACTCAAATTCACAGAGGCCAAAATTAAAAACTAAGGGACTAAGTTAAGAGCCAAACTAAATATTTATTGAAAAATTTCAACAACATCTGCATGTTTTCTCTTCTTGCAAGATATGTAATGTTAAACTTTTTCTTATTAAAATAAATGTTTAATAATAGTTTTGCTTAAACATTGAATCCAGAACAAGCAAAATATAAAATAATAACAACATTTTAAATGAATAATGTCTCTATAGCCGATCTGTTGCCGGCGGGGAGCTCTAATACATATATGACATCTCTGCTCTATATCAAACTAGGGCATTGTCCAGCTCCTGGGCCACATACGACCTTTTGTGATCAGCCCGTTTAAGCTCATTTGGAATTACAAAATAAACATATTTTAGTATTTTACCTTATGCATGGACTAAAGCTGCATTTCTTATTTTAGATGTGTTTTATTGAAAGACAACCTCACTTTTTCATTGCTTAGTCATAACATAAACTCATAAAGTCTTATCAGCTTGTACAAAACTTGCTTTTTTAAAAATAAAGAAATACAATTAATATTATGCAGAAATGAACTAAGCATTTTGGAACTCCACAATATTTTCTGTTTTTCATGTGGCCCCATGGAAAAAATAATTGTGCACCCCTGGTCTTTTAGCCAGACTGGTGCCACCTAGTGCCTCCGCTCAATTTCATTTCT